AAAACAAAGGTAATAGTATGAACAAAAAAGGATTGAGATATATCTAGGTTAAATAATTTGATATAGTTTAGTTTGTTTGTTAAATACTTTATACGAATACTCAGTATAATGCAATATAATATAATATGAAAGAATAATAAACACCAGTATAATTGTTTTCTCTTTCTTATACGCACATACCATATAGGTAGTTACAAGTATTAAAAACTCTCGCAGTAATTCACTTATTATTATTACATATGTAGTTTAAATTAATAAATTATACCCATTATAATATTGAATATATAAATAATACCCATATTTTTTGAGATTCACCAAATAACGATTTTTAATATTTTTATTCTTATAAACAAATATATTTTTGAAAATAAAAATATCTATTAAATAATAAACAAATGACAAAATATCTATGATAATATTCTTTATTGTTGTTATAGGTAGTAGGTAATGATTTTTATTGTATCTCAGTTGTGTAATCACTACGAATAAAAAATGAAGAGAAATTTGTATTATATTATACACGTGTTTGAACTATAAAACCGAAAAAATATATCACTAATGCGCTCTCTCAAGTTATTCAAGCTATATTACATATAATTATAACATTACGAAAATTTTTGCTTTTCAATACTTTTTAAGATCGTATAAAATCAACATACCTAAGTATGACTACAAAGATTTTTTCGTAATCATCATCTATTAAACTTTAATAATTAAAGGTTATATATTTTAAAAGACCCACCACAGCGCCTTATTCGTCATATAATGAACTACAACTCCTGATTCTCACCTTTATTCTATCCTATTATACCGTACTCATAGACGTGTTTGTAACATTTGATAATTCATAAGATTATTTTCATTTAAATGTTATTCGTAATGTTGGAGTAAGAGAAATTGAATTCATACAGGTGTGTGATATGGTCGTTTATAATTTTGATAAACCTTATAAAATCGAAAAATCAACTCTTCATACAATTTGGATATTATCAAATTTAGTAACTCGATAACTCAAAGCCAAAAAGGATAAACAGAAATTGAGTTTTAAAATTATTAATCATACTAATGCAATAATTKTAACGATTTAAATTAGTTATTTGATTCGATATATTCTTCAAAATTATTTTCCACTTGTATAATTGCCTTATGGACGCAATTTTATATGCAGGTATGTAATAGTAAACAAAACACTACCCTTTTGACGTAATGATATTATGATATGGTCACTATTATAGCTATCTAAATAATTCTCATTTAATTATAATTGTTTATCGGTACACAGAAGTRCGAGTATTATTACGTCTGTAAGATAGACATAGGAAGATGATTGAATTGAAACACCTTGAACCAACGATATTCTAATAGGGTTATACCTATGTTGTAAAAGTTTAGATTGCCTATTTAAAAATTAGATGACCTTGATAGTGTACTGGAAAAACTAGAACACCTCGTGGCTCGTATCTAGGAATGAACTTCTATAGTTTATGGAATGTGATTCTGATAATCTGATACATGCGTACACTAAAATTTCCTTGGATGGATACAAGTAGGTACATTAAACATTAATAGTAAATACATTTTTATAACTCTGTGTGTGATAGTATGAATCATTAAGTTCTATAAAGCACACATTCAAAAGTTGTTTTTTTTTCCATTACTATATCTGAACACAAGGTAGACAGGCTGTCGGAAATAATCAATCACTTACTGTACTGACGACAAGATCGTCTTCATCAAGGTAAATAAAGAACAACAATTTTTAGGGGCTAATAAGTGACACGATACATTTGGAAGTAATAGACAGCCGTCTCAATATTATACTCTCTAGGACTTACAATTACATTAGCTTTTTCACCAATGTAATTATTACAGTTATTTGAATCAAAGTAGCAATTATACATATTTTCTGGAAGTCAAACTTATAATTATTTAACGTTTGTATTTTTGTAAAGCTTATAAAATATATCTGACTAATCAATTTCGTTKGAAATCGGTAGAATATCTAGACAAGTGTATTGTGTAGTACATATATTACCATTGTTTGACTGTTTAATAGAAAATRTTAATGCATAATATGGGAGTAAGACTTCTAAATGGTTTTTTTTATACAAAAATCAAAGTATAAWACACTTTTGATCACTTTCATACGTGGTATAAATTTTTTATAATAAATCAAAATTGTTATATAACTTTTAAATTTGTAAGTAGTAAATATTTCATCATACGTCGTCAAATTTGTATTCATCTCATAGTTGTTAAATAAAATGAAATCGTGTCAGTTAATACGAGACTAGTTTTCATGTCACGTAAAATTACTTCATCAAAGTCAAAGTGATTTTTTTACGATTTAATTGGTATACAATTGGAACTGAATAACTATTATAAACAAATAATTCTATAAGATTATTTAAACTCGTAGTGATTTTGTTATTAAAATCATAAAATTTGTAATGACTAATCTTTTTTTATTATTATAGTTATTTTAGTTATTTACAAATTATAATAATGTAAATAACCATTGTCGTTAAAAGTGTTTGAAATTATGACAGTTTAATACAATTGATATGAATTTATGAAATATGTTTGTATTCTAAATAACTATACCTACCTATCAAAAAATGTACTTCATCAATTCTCAACATATAATGACAACTCGTTAATTCTTATTTAACACATTTTTTTTTAAATTTTCATTACAGATTCTAGGTAACATTTTTATTATTCTATATAATATCATAATAAAAGTATTAGTGTTTTACAATTTTTAAAGTTTTAACGATATATTTGGAATATAAGTCAGGGTATATATATCAACGAATAAGATTTAATTAGGAATAAAAATATGTAATCTGCAAAACTATTTTTAATAAGATTATTGATAATTGATACAATATGCAGCGAACTAAACATATTTTTAAAATATATAGTACATTAAGTATGTTAAGAATCTTTTAACATAATTGTTCTTGGTATTAAATATGAATATTAAAAAATTAAACTAAAAAAGGTAATCACTAAAAATAAACTACTCTTAATTTAAACGTGTTTAAATATTGTTTTGAACTATTTATAGATCGAGATTTAAAATGCTGAGTTAAATTAACAATAAATGATAATCATTGTATTACTTACTTTGCAACGTCCTATGATAGAAATCGTCTTGTGTCTTGTCAATGCTCCAACCGCAACTAAAGTAGAAAATGTCCAAATGATGCCCCCTACAACCTCAATGACAAGGCTGATAGCAGGTAGGTCGCTCAATGAAACCTGTTCATACAGAAGTAATRTAATAAATATATCACTTATAGGCACATGGGTTATAAAATATCCCCCCTGTTAATGAAAAACATTTTAGCAGGGCATTTTAATAATTCATTCGGGTTATATTATACCAATCGGCAGTGTTGAATTAAATTTTGATTTAACGTGACTTAATGACAGATTTTACGGAAGAGTCATAAGATGACTAGGTTAATAGTCAATATATGAATGATATTTATGTGAAATATATCTATATGAGATATTTTCAAAAAAAAAAGTTAAAAATGAATTATTAACTTATGTTACATAATTGAATTTGTTATTCTAAACTATATTTTGATAATTAAACAATTTATTAATACATTAATCCATGTTATGTTATAGTATTTTTATAGTACCTACTATTATTCAAGTCGGTTTGTGTATAGAAACCCATATGAAACAAACAAACTCAAGATTTAATATTCAAAATTATTTGATAATATTGGTAGGATTTARTTGGTATTTKTAAAACCTAAGCCTGTTTTAACAGAATATCAAATGTAATCAAAAATKTCAAATTCTTTACTTTGGAAGTCAAAATGAATTAACATTTTAYTACAGACATTGCAGTGTAACCMCACTCACCCCTCCTTCTGACACAATGTATTGATGAAAATGCGATATATTTTAGTTTATATTTTAATGTGACAATTTTTTTTTTACTCTTTTAATTTAAACGAAAAATCACCCAATGACTTATATWACCGCGGGTTGAAAAATAAAACATAGTTTCTTGGTGAATTAAAATATTTCAGCTGTATTTAGTCGCATATTCAATTCCCTACTCTATGTATATAAGTTAAAAATCAATAATTGGTAGGATTCACTATAAGTAGGTACTTAACTATACTTTGTATTTATTTCATGACAAAGTTTATATGTTTTGTCGATAAGCCTTATTTTGATAAATTCAAATTATAAAAATATTAAATTTTTTAAATATTTATGATTCATAATCTATGATTATGTAAAGCTAAGTAAAACCAGATAAAAAAACTAGAAAATATCGAGATCATGTTTATTTTATTAGTATCTGATAAAGTGCTATTGATTTTTGTTTGGGAATTATCATTAGGTTAGGGTAAGTTACTAAAAATATGAGTTACAATAATTTTAAAGGGACAATATAGGTACTTTTAATAAATACCTAGGTATTTTTGTATGTGCAGAAAACATTATAAAGTCTTGATACCTTGTTGATTGAGCCGTCTCGGAATCTGAGGTATCTTGAGGTTATTCTTGATCAGTGACTAAACTTCGCCGCGCACGTGGACACGGTCGCCAAAAAGGTCTACCAGACGGGTGCCTCGTTGGCTAGGCTAATGGTTCATACCCACTTTGCCAAATCCCAATTCGCCGACAACTCAATTTGCCGACAAATATACCAGTTTTAAAATATTTTTAAAATATTCCCTTTTCGCCGACAGTCTAGTATATTATTGATATAAGTTCGATGTTTAAATGTTTTTCCACACATAAAAATATAAAATCCACATGTAGTATAGATTGGTGAATTTAGTTCAGTCCTCCAGCGAATCGTGGTTTTAGAAATAAACTGAAAGTAAGTAATATTTGTATTAATTAAAAAAAAAATAAAAATAAAAAAAAAGATGCATATTTTATAAATTATAAGTGCATAAGTGCATGCATATGTGATATATAGCGCATCAAGTTCCAACCTACATTATAATAATAAAATGTTGTTTTTTTTTAAATATAATTAATGAAGGAAGAAATTTCGAATAATCCAACAAAACCAGTACCTAAAGCATTTAAAGAAATAAGGAGATCTGTAATTACTTCAGGAATACAAGGTGCTACAAACTCTGAAATTGTAGATGCTATTCCAGTATTTACTAGCATAAAAAGTTCCGGTTACAGAAAAAAAATGAAAATGATTCCCCCTTTACCGTCGAAATTATGCGATTTAACGATTGAAGGTGACTGGCGTTCTACAAACGATGGGAGAGATTTTTTATTAGGTTATTATTTTACATTATTTTAAAATTTAACTACCGTGTGTTCACCAATTTAGGGAACRCTGGATTTCTCAGGATATACAGTATTACAGTTATATGTATATTATGTATATACATTATTTAGGTTCAGAAGGAAATGATGAAAAAATAATTATATTTGGAACAGATGGATTTTTAAAACGACTTTGTAGCAGTGAAATCGTTTTCATGGATGGTACATTTAAATCTGCCCCCAAATTATTTATGCAAATATACACATTACACTGTTTTGTAATGGGTGTTATGGTGCCAATGGTTAGTATGTTATCATTTAAAATATGTAGTATATTTTTTTATTACATTTATTTCATTATATTTTTTAAAGATTTTATTTTTATTATTAATATTTAATTTTAATTATTATATTTAAATAACAATGTTTTTTATATTTATATTTATATATTTAGGTTTATGCTCTTTTACCGAATAAAAGCACTAGTACGTATACAAGAATGTTCAATATAATTAAAGAAGCTGCTTTGAGAAATGATTTGGCTTTCAAGCCCAAAACATTTCAAATTGATTTTAAAATAGGAATGATTGTTGCTATACGAGATTCATTTGGATATAACATAGAAATAAAAGGATGCCTTTTTCATTTTGGGCAATCTATATGGCGACAAGTACAAAAACTTGGTTAAGTGCACGATTATACACACAATGATGAAGTGAAAAAAATGGTTCGAAGAATATGTGCCTTAGCTCTGGTGCCTATCGATGAAATAGATGAGTGTTGGTCAATTATTCATGCTGAAGCACCAGTTAATGAAAGTAACTGAAAACGATTTAATTATAATTTGATTAGCATATATAATATTTACTTTTTTTTAGACGTTATAAAACTTATGGACTATTTTGTGGATACATATTTG